TCATCCATGTAATGGTTCAGCTCGATTGCCTTTGCTGCCTCTGGGTACTGCTTCTTGTAGTCCACCGCGTTCCGGTTCTTCACGTAGATCGCTGTGCTAGGAGATGATGTCGCGCCGAAGATGACTGATGTCATTCTGTACTCCTTCGGTGCTACGTCACGACGATCCCCTCGCCACAGGAACTTCAAGCTGTTTCTATCTTCTGGCCGGATGCGAACTTGCAGGAACATTTCCTTTATGTCGGCTGCCACTGCAAACGGGCCTTGCCGGAACCTCAGTAATACCCCGAAGAGCGATTGCAGTAGGTCTGGTCCCGGTAGTAAAGCGTCGTTGAGGCTTCTCCCTTTAGACTTGGCTGCAGCGTCGAAGACGATCCTTATTTTCTTCTTCAATGGATGTACCACGGAGAAATGAGGGAGGTACCATGTCTTCTTTGAATCTTCTTGTCCACCAGGTGCTTCTTCTGCATACTTGCTGTCGATTAGATGCTGGATCTGCTTATTGTATTCTGCCTTCAGCTGAGGGTCTTTGTCTATCTTCTTTTCAATGTTGAACAATCGGTTCTTGGCAGACGTGTAGCTTTCAGGCATCTGTTCATCTTCATTTTTCCATAGAAGTCCAGCTTCAAATCGACCATCTTCTAGTCTTCTGCAGGTCTTCTCTAGGATGGTGAGTGCTCTTCCTTCTGAATCCGTAGTGGGTCTTCTTGGTAGTACTCCAAGTGCTTCGATTGCGAAGTGATCCTTGATGGCTTGATGCATCTCTTCTTCTGGCGTGCTGACATGTAGACACGTGTTTAAGAAGTGCATCACTTTCGCGCCTCCAGTGTCTGACCCGTGGAGCACCCATCCAAGTCCTGTTCTTGAAGCGACTGGTTGTCCTGGTTTCCCTCTTCTTACTTCTTGAGTCACGATTAGCTCCCAGTTGTCTTGACCGATGAGCAGCTGTGGTGACTCCCCCTTATAATATAGAGAGTCAGCAATCTTCTTCAAGTGTTGACACTCTTCTATCCTTTTCTTTTCTAGGAACTGCGGTGCAAGCTTCAACTCGTCGATGGTCCGGACTCTTCTCAAGGTCTTCTTGGTCTTCTGATGAATCCCCTTCACCGTAAGGTCCAGCATCTGAGAGTCTTCCTTCCTTATCAGCCTGCCTCCAACAGTCTCGATGACCAGTTCCTCCTTTCTTCCTTGAGCGCCGATTTCTTCTGCTACCTTCTGGTCTAGCAGCGACACTGTTGACCCTTCATCCATGAGGGCCAATATCTTCTTTGATCCTTTTGACCCGAAGATTTCTATCGGAATTATCTTCAGGTATGCCCTTGCGTTGTTGACCGCATTCACCGATGCCATGATGCTCGCCACTTCTTGTGGTTTGTTCTTCTGTTCTTCCGAGGAACTTTTCTCTGTCTCGACGTGCAGCAGATGATGATGCCACCTCTTGCATTCCTTGCACGACGGCTTCTTGCAGCTCTCCTTCCGATGTGTCCCTTGTAAACACTTGAAGCAAACGCGGCTTTTCTTCACTATTGCCCATCGATCTTGCACAGACGCCTTCAGGAACTTCTGACACCCGACGAGGAAGTGTTCACCCTCACACATGGGGCAAGTCTTCTCTGATCTTGAAACCTTTTCTTTGAAGTCCTTTTCCTTAGTTGAATGCGTTGCTTGTCGATGAGTCCGTCTGAACCCGCTCTTCTCTTCTGTTGATGCATAGGCTCCACACTTGTCTGCTTCTCTGTTCAGGAACTTGGACACCAGTGTTAGGTCGGAGAACTCGCCTTCTTCTGTTGTTTCAATGAAGTCGTACCATCGGAACTTGAGGATCGTAGGCATCTTCTCAATAATTTGTTTCACCATCTCAGGTGAATGCAGGTACTGTGGTTTCTTCAATCCTTTTATTGCCGCTACGCTGTTGCTGATCTGGCTCGCGAAGAGGCATATGTCCCTTGGGTTTTTCAGAAATCTTCGGCAACGTTTTGACCTTGTCCAACTCTGCCAGCACCAGTGCATCTGGTCTTCCATATCTTCTTCTGAGGGCTTGAATCACTTCCATCGGAGAGGCTTCGGAGTACAGCAGACTCTTGATAGCTTCTCTTGCGTTGCCCTTCAGTGCTCTTCTTAGCCGAGCCATATTCTGGACGTTGTTGAACATCGGTGCTGTATCTTCATAGACAACCTTGAAGGCCATCCACTCGCTGCTGTTGCCGTCGAAGTAGGGTAACTCGTGAATGTAGGTTGGCTGTCCTGCTGGTCCTCGCGTGGTAAGAGCTTCCTTCAATGCTGCCGTCAGTGCTTGAATTTCAATCGTAGCTCCTCTCGTTGAGGAGTTCTCTTCAGGCTTCATCTTCTGTGGCTCTTCCAAGGGGTGTGGACCTCGCATCTCTGGTTGAACTTTGTTGCCATCCTCCAGCACAGACGTCTCGATCCAGTTCTGCACCTGTGCTGTTCTGTCTTCCAGGTCTTCATCCACGGAGTCCTCTTCTTCACACTGTGCCATCTCCAATCTGACACGGGCTAGCTTAGTTTCAGCCTGTGCTTGCTTCAACTCCAGGCGTGCCAACTCTTCCTTTGCTTCTAGCTCGCGTCTTCTGGCCGAGGAACTCGTGGTCTTCGTGGACCTGGCGCGACGACTGACCCCCATCGGTTTCAGGGTCTTGGAGGAGCCTTGAACATCCTTTCCAGGTACATCTTCTTGGCTCTTCCTGGTCATCCTCTGTGCAGCATCTTCTTTGTTGCCTTCCATAGACGCCGCCGTAGTTGCAGTCGTAACCGTAGTCTCCGTCACTGTGGTGCCCTCCGTGGTCGTGGTACCCGAAGAAGTGTTCGATGTAGTTGCAGTTCCCGATGACGCCGACGCTGACGTGACCCCTTCTGATCCCGACGTTCCATCTGTCGCGTCCCTATCTGAAGGACGGGACCCGGGACGTGAGGGGGCATCCTTCTGCGACCTGGTTACCGGCATCTTGAACGCAATCTTCTGTTTCTTCTGAACTTCTTCTAGCAGGGATCCGGCTCGAAGGACCAACTGTTTCGGACGACCAGAACCAGGGTATGTCTAGTACCCGGAGGTCGACCTGGGACAATCTCCCAGACGTTCTTGGCGTACACGGCAGTATGTCCGTTCGCTGGTAATGTACGCCACCACGCACCCCTGAATGCGTAGCTTGGGTCCCGATCCACTAGGGTTTCTTCGTTGACAGGAGACTATACTTAGAGGCGATGAAATAAAACACAATTTTTCCTTTTTTCTCTCTTGGTTTCGGTTCTTCCTTTTCCTTTTAGTTGTTGCCTCTTCGGTGGCTGTCTTGCGACTGACTCGAATCGAGAAATGGCTCGCCTTTTATTTGGCCCGTTAATACCTTACAGAGAGCCGCGTACTTTGAGCTCGTTTTTCGAATAAAATTTCCCTAAACCGAAACCTTGAGAGTCCTTTTATTTTATGTTTTCAGTAAAACACCTTACACATATTTATTTATTTACATGCCTTACATACTATTATACAATATTAAAACATAATATTCAATATATAATAATTAATTAAAAAAGTCTTAAAACAAAAATATCTAAATTTCTAGGTTGCTACATTTTTACTATACATTTTCCCTTATAACTTTTGAACGGATAGTCCTATCGACCTAATTCTTGTTTTATTATAAGTTTTATAATAAAATCTGTTATTTAAAACATAAACTATTATGCTATTGCAAGAAACAAAAAATCTCATTTTCAAGTTACGTAATTATATGCTAACATTTTACTTACGTACCTATTCCTTTCAAATTAATGTTAAATAGTCTTATATGATTCAAATAAGCAAAAAATACTCTAAACTAACCTTATTACACTAATTAGAACTTATTTTAACATAATAAATCTAATAAGAATGAGATTTCATATTTACAACAATTATTCATAATACGCTAAAATGACATTGTCCCTATATTAAAACACACGTTACTCGAAGATAAGTTTTCCGTCGCCGACAACTGGGGCTATAAGTGCATAAGTATGTATAGCTACGCAGCAATACCACTGCGCTACGCTAGGTACACTACCATATAAAGCGGCCGTGTGTGTGACAGCTCACCGCAAGTTTGTGTACGCACTGCCCGTTGACAAAACCGATTTTTTGACTTCAACTATTGACAATCTCAGACCGAATGCTCAAAACAAAACGCACACATCGCTGTCTTATATAGCACTTTGTCTTTGTAGGTTAAGATGGTTATAAGCTAAACTAGAGATAGTGTGTTCGATCTCTAAAAAGGGTTAATGAATGTACGGGTCAAAATTAAATAAGTATACACTACTAATTTTCGATCAACCTCCTCTTCATTATCCTCTTCATCCTCTTTCTCCTTCTTTGTTCTTCTCTTCAAGGTACAGGCTTCATCTTATCAAGCAGGCTTTATGTTTGTTAATCATACTTATCACATAAAAAGATATAATTATATGTATAACTTAAATTACTATGCATGACATGAAATAGCAATGACACTTACGCAACTTCACATTTTTGTCGAGATATCTAGCTATGACTGGAATCATTGGGTAAAAACGCATTGCCTCTTTTAAAACAGCTTCTAAATAAAATAACTGTGACAAATCATACTTCGTTACGTCTCTATCGTCATCACCGAAAACATCATTTAATCTGTAAATAGACAAGCTTTTAGAATATTACTTTAGTCATATTCAAATTCCTTTCTTATTAAATAAAGCTATTTTTATACTTTTTTTTTATGACGTGATATTTCTAAAACTATTTTTTTTTTGTACTTAAGATATTCTAGCGATCGACAAAGAATAATCTTACTGCAAAATAAATCTATCAAAAAGTTTACAAACAATACGTAAGTTTTCGTATTATTTCTATCCCAGGTAGGTAGGAGAGCAAGGTAACGCATAGACCCAGAATTAGAAATACTGTACAATGCGAGTACACTCATTATTTAATAAAACAATAATAAGTATTTATTTTACTATTAGGTGCTCTACTTACTCTTCAAATATTCTCTCTTGCACGTGTGGATAGGAACCAACCAACAACATACTGTACATGAGAACACTCGCTGACGTATCATGACCGACTGTAATCATGGTGTCAACGTGTTCTCTAATCTCACGATCATTGAACGCTCCTTTCTCTATTGCTAGCTCTAAGAGTAGATCCATGAATGGCTTGAACTTTAGCCCTGAAGTATTTTTCAATCATTTTAATTAATTTCGTTTGTTTACATAAACAATGATATTTCCTAAAAATAACTGTAAAATCAATTATTGTACAGAAAAATAATCATTAAAAGTGATAACAATAGACGACATGGAATACCGCGTATTTTACATACGCAAGAAAACGGTCTCGTTTCTGTAGACAGTTTAATATAAGTAAAAATGGCAACATTTTTTTGTTCCTATCTTTTCTCTAATTTCACATAGTCTGTTTTGAATTTAATTGAATTTCTAATTTGCAGTAATCAAATCAGAATATATATTTAAAAAAATGCTAAAACTATTATGTTTTTATAGTTTACAACATACCTTGCATCTTTTCTACCTTCTTTGGGTTATTTTTATTTAAATAGTCTGCTTTCTCTTTTTTAAAACCTGTAACATAAAAATTGTTAAACATTCTTTTGACAAATTGATTTAGACTAATGTTATAAAAAACTACCAAGCCCTAAAAAAGTGAGGTATGGCTATTAGTTACGGTAAGTATTGAACATTGACCAAATCAATCTCAATGTAGGCTGGGGTAAGCTATGTGAGAGAGAGTGGGTGCGCAAGTGACCCCAAGCGTCCAAGCATGACATTAGGATTCTACTGCGAGTTGTTTTGAATAAGATTTACATAGTAATAATAATAATAATCGTTTATTTGTAGCAAAATATCAAGTTACAAAAATATACTCTTTACTGTTTCGCTTAAGAGAGTTATCCAGAGAGAGTGCTTCGGAGCTCGTACTAGGAAAACCTGTATTATTTCCTCTACTCGTAGATTTACAATATATAGACCAAATAGTTAACAGTTACTGAAGTTAGTAGATTATAATGCTAGAAAATAGCATAATCAAAAATAAAGGAAATTGTTTTTGTGTGTGTGTGCGTGTGTGCGTGTGTGCGTGTGTGCGCGTGCGCGTGCGTGTGCGTGTATATGCATTTAATTGTGATTATTGTGATACTTTATAATGTGATGCTCTGTGAAATTCAAGGTCTCCTGCCCCATGATGTTTCCCAAGCAACATCGAAAAAACTGGGTATGTGCGAGTCTTACTAATAAATCAGTCTGAAGAATCTCTAGCACGAAACATTGAATTTTATTGAAGGTTTATAAGTCTGTATTTGTATTAGAAAGAAAGTTACGAGTTTGTAAATATACAGCCAAATGCTTGGAACCAAAAAAAAAGGAATATTTCAAAATTTACTAAACGTACTTTATTCAAAGTAATTTTCGTTGAATGTTGTTTTAAAACTACTATTTACAGTTTTAATTACTTCCCATACTTTAAAGGTTTAAAACTTAACTAACTCCGGCATTAAATAATTCTAAAGATAAATTGAGTAACACGTGATCGATAGATACAAAATATATTTTACCGTATCTGACATGTTGTGAAGAATTTTCAAATATCCATCCTGTTTCTTTTTTAAAGAAGACCAACTGTAGATGAAATGATTGTGTAGCCACAACTTCTGGAACCTGTCCACAAGTACGTTGAACATTTGCTCTACAGCATTTACATATTGGCTGTTTAGTATTGTCTTATCAGTGAAATCAACACCTAATGCTGTCACTGAAATTTGAAATATTTGATTTTTTGATGATACATATTTTCAAAATAAGGAAGTAGGTAATGTTAATATTTATTTTGGAGTTAGATGTAATAAGGATCAAGTATGCACGCTTAAGGATTGAAATGTCATAAAAATAAAAATTTAAAGCTAAATGAATCAAACTGTGGTTTTTATAGTAAAAGGGGCAAAGGAACAAACGATTCACCTAGAACCACATATTATAGCGCTGATGGAAAACCTCAGGAGAAAAATCGTTCTATAATTTGCACTTGCGAAATGCAATGTAAAACGAAAAATTATATATGTTATATAACCAGATTCAAAAATGTTAAGAAAGTTTAATATTCAATGTAGGTATTATATAATACAGTAATAAAGTATAACAAATTAATTTAAATTAATTAAACCAAAAAAATATTAAAGGAGTTCAACTTAAACTATCAAAACAATGTCATTCATCAGCAAATACATATGTATATAACACCATAATATAACGCGGCTTTTAATCCAGTCTTAATTCGCGTTGTGCATTTTTTCCTCCCCTCTAGTTACTCCCTTAGAGTTGTTTTATGTTGTAGAAAATCTTTGCATGCTGCTATACTTTGCCATACCAGCTTTTAAACGTCTTTATAAAGAGCTTTCTTGCAACTTGATAAGTTTCAATATTAATAATTTGGCAATCATCTGGCGATCCAAGAATTTTAGAAATATATTAGGACTATAAAATAATATACTGCAGAATTTATACAAAAATTTAAAGAGTGATAGGACCAATACTTTATAAATTATAATACTTCTTATAAAATATGACATCTCATTTTAGCAACAAGTGTAACGCGTGTAATTGAATTTTTAGAAGAATTATTTCTTAATCAATTTTAATTCATAAGTATGATGTGATGTTCTCCTAGCCGATTCCGGCCACGGCGGCCAATCTCAATGAGATTAGCCAACTGCGCAGGAGATATTATAGTGCACAAGTGTACGCGCAGACACAAGTGCACGCTCTATTCCTGTCACTCTCATACTCCGGTGGGACGACTGCTCGACACGGCCAGTGAAAGTTAAGGCGCAGGACCGACGGCTTTACGTGCTCTCCGAGGCACGGGGGTGAAACACCGCCAACTTCCCAACTTCGGGCTGTTACTGAGACTTACTATACAGAAAGACTCAATAACTAAACTTGGCCCGACCCGGGACTCGAACCCAGGACCTCCGGGTGTGCAGCCGTACATGCTAGCCACTACACCACCGAGGTAGTTTCGTGTTTCGTATTCATAAGTATAATGAGGTATTAAATACATACTTACATACATACATATCTACACACTGCGTACAGGTAACCTACAGGACTCTAAATAAAATTATTTCGGCTTGATTTTTTTTTTCATAGGCATTGGTAACCTAGTGCAACACGCTCGCTTGGGAAACCGAGTGAAGCGGGTTCAAATCCCGGGTCTCGCACCTCTTTGTTTTAGGTGCGAATCATTTCTAACATGATTACCACTTGCCTTAGGGTGAAGGAAAACATCGTGAGGAAACCTGTATGTCTGAGAGAATCTAGCAAGTTTTCGAAAGACATGTAAAGTCCGCCAATCCCCACTTGGCCAGCGAGGTGGACTATGGCCTGATCCCCTTCGTATTGAAAGGAGGCCCGTGCCCAGCAGTGGGACGTTAAAAAAAGTCGCTAGTAATATTATAAAACAATGAATTTACTTACAACATATAGTTTCCAAAGCATTATGTCGTGTGTACACAAAGTGATCGAAAGGACCCTTCCCAACTTCTTTTTCCAAATCTTTAACTAAACGTCGAGCTTGTTTGTTAAACACATCTAAGAAACCATCGAGTACCACTTGACTGAACGCAGGGTTTAGCAGTTTACGGTGTTCTTTCCATATAGGAACTGAAAAAACGATTCTTATATTTTATTTTATTTGAGCCTTAAATAATAATTTCACTAAGAAAATTAAGGGAAAACTAAATCAAACTTAAAAGGTAATTTATCAAATGAAAGAAAAGCATAGAGAAAAGCTAAAGGTACTAAAAGCAAAGTAGTCACTAAAATGGCACGAAGCGCTACCATCTAATACTTGTTCAAAATTTTGGAACGAGATTCATTCGTCGAGATTCATACCGTTTTTGACTCGAAATTGGCAAGCTGATCGGGTCAAAAATCTCATCGATCGATGATATGACTGATATATTCAAGGACACATAACAATCTTCATATTATTTTATGCTTACCAGTCCCAGTCACCAGACCCTCCCCTATCCATTCTTTCCCAAATTCATAAAAACTATCTTTTTCTAAACAAGTGTTGGCTACAGTCAAGAAGTCCTCTGGATCAGATATCACTGCAAAGAAAAAATATCTCACTAATTTATTGTGTAAAAAATTCTTCATTTTGAAGAATTATGTTTCATTGATGTAAAATTTATGTAACAATAAACAATGTCATTCAATATTGTTCAATCTTAGTATCTTTTCCGAAGCTTGTATAAATATTAATGTTTACAATAGTACATACGCTAGATTAAAATAAATAACGAAATCAAAATTCGTTTATCAAAAGGCAGTGCAAGGCTATGAAGGGTAATAGAACGTAAAATTATACCATAAACGGTTCTTGGACCAATAGATAAAGACATCACTCCACCTGCTTTAAAACTTTCATTGGAGAACTCTTTAAAAGTATTCCACAGTTCTGAAAAAAAATTAGATGTTTAACTGGATCTAATATCATAATTATATATTCGTAGTTCCGACAAAAACAAACCAATAACAGTAAAGAGCAAAGTATGTAATATCAGTGTTCCTATACAATTTATATTACGTACGCTTTGTTATTAATCTTATTAGTAAAATTACGTTAATTTCTATTCGATATATTATAACAACTGAAAACAGACAAGGGGGTAAACAGGGGATGAAAGTTTGTATGAAACTACCTTTTTAGGGTTTTCTTATAGTGTTAGCGCGAGCGAAGCCGCGGGTTCTGCTATATATACATTATACCGAAACTAGAAACTAGAGCGACTCATTAGTAGTATAATAAACAAGTCTTAGTAAAAAATATTATTTTAATAATAAAATATAAAAAAAAATATCATTACTTACGCACACTGTCGCCGCATAGTAAATGTGCATGACCTATTAAAGGTAGACTTCCGGGACAGATTGGAGGTTCATCCGTGTTACCATTCCTTCGACACCACGCCCAGAGACCGAATGCCGCACAGATCAGTATTATCATCAACATGATCTTTAACAAGTTGTTATGGAATAAAAACTAAAAAAAACCGACTTCAAAGAAAAACACTAAAAATTAAAAACAATGATTGATAGTTTTCATTTACTATAGATACCTAATCAGATATTTTCGAAGTCAGTGTGCTTTGATTTGTATCGGCTGGCACCAAACCGAATTAAAACCTCCAGCTATTTGAAGTCTTTTCGGTTGAAAAAACTAAAATTGAACATGTAAACTTAAGCGTAGACTTATATGTTTAGAAATATTGGATTTAGTTTTAAATTTTATATTAAAAACAAACAATAATGTCTTAATTCAAAAAGTGGAGTTCACATTTTTAAATATTATCTAGCATAATTTAATTTTAATTATTGAAAGACGATCTGTTTATTTTCTTTTTTTCTAAATAATATAGTTGAATATTAAAGGTATTAAATTAAAAAAACAATAGTAATACTTATATGTTTTAATCCACCACCGTTACAAAGGTTTATAATAATCACCTTTAAAAAGTACTATCAAATTATAATAAATATAATATTGAATTATCAAATTTAATGTTTTTTCTGTGTCACAATAATTCACGCACCTTTAAATATTTGATTTATTTAGACCCTTCTTTCTATATAGAAGTGTAAAAATATAATAAAATAGGAACTGAGTGGACATAGCTCTTTATAGTACGATTTTATGATTCATTATAAGTAGTTTCCACATCCAGTTAAACTGCTAATGAAGTTTTACAATGACCGGTTATTACATAAACAGAATGGAATTATTTTGGTTTTTAAATGTTGCTAACCTCGTGAGGCCCAATAACTTCGGACTAGGGCATAATATCGAACCTGATTACCGCCTAGATAAATATGATAGTACGTATTCTTGTGTGGGGACCGGAATTAGGTAAAATGACACACAACCGAATCCGTCGAGTAATTCTTTATTACTGTCCATACTTTGTACTACATTATTGTTACCCTTATCGTCTAAAATTACTAAATTAGAGCTTTCCTCCTTCACAATCATTGGTTATTAATAAATTTTATGACGTTGTTATTTTAACAAGTTCGGAGAGGGGGGCGATTTGATCCAAACCATCTCTTTTTTTCTTGTTTAATGTTTGTTTAATCTCAAGATTAAATCCTAAAACTACATGTTAGTAATAAATTTTAAACAATCAACATTTCGACTTGTTCTATATTATCAAGCCGCAATTGTATCTACCACTATCAAATTCTCGTAGAAAGAACTGTTGGACCTCTCGCCAAAATGAAGCTACTCACGAAGTTTTAGCTTGTTATTAATCATTAAAAAATCCGCTGGGGACTGTAAAATATTTATTAAAATTTTGAAAAAAAAAATACATATTAAAAATTATATACAACAAATCTTAGAGGAGACTTAAGTACCTACAAATATAATAATAAACAAAAAAATGTATTTAATTACCTACTTAGTTATAGTTACACCTCGTCCATCCGCTTTAGGTTAAGATTTACATAGAATAAGAGAGACGCAAACTCAGCGTCTAGTCGGCCCACCCGGCATCCGCCGGCCGAGTATGTAATCAGAGATTAAAGAAGTCTCAAATCGGCTACATGTCTCCCATTTAGATTTATTTTTTTTCTCAAATTAATTTTAAGTTACTATAAATAGTTTTCGAAACGCTCCGAAACCAAAAGTGGCGCAGCCGGGGCGGATTTTCTTATAGACTCCGTAGTATAGAGAATCGTCGCACGAAATAAATAATCTTTTGTGTCGCGAGAAGCAGAGAAAACCGAATATGGGAGTAGCGGTCATGTGGTGAGTCAAACTTTTCGCCAATCCTTGTTCCCCTAATCCTCCCGTATTTTTCATGTTAATTATAAGTAATTGTTATTTTTGAGATCAAACCATTATAACTTTGTTAAATTGATATCACCGTATGAAATTCTTCGGTCTTATCTTTCTTAGAATAGGAACATAGAGTACTTATGAACATAGAGACTTCGTTTAATAAAATTAAATATTAAATTGATTTAAAGAAATTATAATTATATTTTAACAAAATTTCTTTTAATTTTTAAATTTTATTTCTTTTTAAATTGTTTTTTTTTGTGTGTGTTTTATTATAAGTGTGTGTTTTTTTGTGTAAGGGTTTTCATATTTAAAGCCAGTTGCATCCTCTGAACATTTCATTACTCTACAATCATGGCAACCACAACCATATCATCAATACCAAAAAAAATTATAGATTTAATTCCTTTGTATAGTGGTGATAAAAGACACCTAAATCTTTATTTACGGAAATGTCAATACGTAATTGAGCGATATAATGGTAATGATGAACAAAATCTTTACGTTTTTAATGTTTTAACAAGTAGATTAAGAGATGATGCAGCTACGCTCTTGTCTGAACGAGAGGACATTGTTACATGGTCCACATTAAAAGCCTTGTTAATCCGACATTTTGGAGACCCTCGCAGTGAAAAGTGCATTAATATAGAGTTCTTTAAAAATTAATCCAGGTGAAACTTTTCTCGATTTTTTAATAGGATCCAAGGTGTTCGGTCGCTATTAATGTCGAAGGTGAATTCCATTCATGATTCAGATTTAAAACTTGCGAAGTCAGTTATTTATAATAATACGGCTCTAAAAGTGTTTTTATATAACCTCCCGGAAAATATGGTGCGTATTGTTAGGCTTAAATCACTCACAACTTTAGAAACAGCATTAGCGCTAAGCAAAGTCTCTATATTGCATCAATCAATTGTGAACTCTACAGAATTATTATATCATTTAAATTTAATTTCTAACTCTGTAAGCTTGGTATATCCACCAACAGAAACAAATTTATTAAAAATAGAGGAAAGTATTTGTGTAAAATCATATATTAAAGACAATCACATAACATTTATAATGGAAATACCAATTACAGATAACTCAACGTATAATTATTTTAAGATATATTCATTACCAATTTTTCATGAACCTGAAAACAAAACTCTAGCCATTATTCCTAAATATCCTTACCTTTTGGCGAAAGGATTAAAGTACTTACCACTAGTAAAGTCATGTCGTTCATTGTCGACCACCGATCAATTCCTATGCACTGCAGACAATCAAGCTTTATATTATGAACGCACCTGTATAGAGCAGCTCATGAAATTCGAAGATGACTTGACTCCCTGTAAGCAGTATCAGGTCCAGATCGAAGAGGTTAAGATTCAGCAAGTCAATGCAGATAGCTGGCTTCTCTACAGCAGACTGAGGAAAATACTGACCAAGCAATGCGGTCATGAGGTCAGTAAGCAATTTGTATCTGGCACTTACCTGATGACTATCGACGAACCTTGTGAACTGGAAATTCATGGAGTTCGCTTCCACCATAGAACTCTAATAGAATCAAATGTCATTAAGAAGATCCCAATTATTACACTACCCCAAATCAAAACGGACATGACTCTATCTAGCGCAAGTGTACTCAACATGAAAGGAATTAGTTTAGATGAAGTGAAATATATGGCCTTTTCGTTAAAACATAGTGCGGTAATTGAAAGTGCTTTAAATAATAAGAAAGACAATAAATTCAGTGAAATCTTAGGTTACGTAACATTTGTGTTAATAATTTTAAGTCTTTTTATCTTAATATTTTATATAATTTGGCTAAAATCGCCAATATGTTTATCATTTAAGCAAAATTATTGGAAAGAATCTCAAATCAATCCCTCCGATAATTTTCCTCTTAGAGATGGAGGAGTTATAGTTACACCTCGTCCATCCGCTTTAGATTAAGATTGACATAGAATAAGAGAGACGCAAACTCAGCGTCTAGTCGGCCCACCCGGCATCCGCCGGCCGAGTATGTAATCAGAGATTAAAGAAGCCTCAAATCGGCTACATGTCTCCCATTTAGTTTTATTTTTTTCTCAAATTAATTTTAAGTTAATATAAATAGTTTTTGAAACGCTCCGAAACCAAAAGTACTTTCTTAAATAAAACAAAATATATTTACATATTATTAAGATTTAATAACATATTCACCTACCTACATTACTATTTTTATATGAAAACTGGCTTCAGCCTGTGGCTTCACTCGAGTGTATTACAGCCGTAGTTCTAGATATATTTAACCAAATTTAATAAAACTTAGCAATATTTTTATAGGGTTTTGGTGTCCACTACAATTTATCTATATTTATTTAATATCATTTTAAAATTATACTTGAAAATACGACCATTGCTTTCATTATTCTGTCAGTTATTTCTTCCTTCTCTCAATCGTAATGTAATATCCAGACACCGGTTTCAGTAAAACATCTATTTTAGCTTGTAATTTTGTGTGATCGCCCTTAACCCTGTAATGTCTGTACAGATGTGCTAACGTAGTTTTCATGAACATGTAAGCGTATGATTGGCCTGGAACAGAAAGTGATTTATATTAATGATACTTTGAAAATTATTTAAAAAATAATAGTTATGCTTTTATATTTATATAAGTATTTCTGAATAATAATATATAATAATATATTCATGTTTGCATGAGGTATTATAGTGCACAAGTGCACTCTCTATTCCTGTCGCTCATCATTCGATGAGACGACAATTCGACACAATTAGTGACAGATCAGGCGCAGGACCGACTTAACATCCACTCGAGGCAGTGGGGTGTAATTCCGCCAATTTCCAAACTTAGGTCAAGAAAACCCTATTGTAATTTGTCCGACTTGGGAGTTGAACCTAAGACATTCGGATCTGCAGCCATACATGCAAGCCAATATAAATAGACCAACGAGGCAGATTCTTAATAACATGCCTTTGTTAAACAATCACATATTATAATGTATTTAAATCTATACATATAATAAAATCGTATAGAATTTTTTTTTGGAAATTTTTATTGAAATAGACTTCATTATCAATACAGAGGCCAAATCTACAGTTTTTAGAATTTTTGTCTGTCTGTCTGTCTTTCTGTCTGTCTGCCTGTCTGTTACCGCATCACGGAAAAACCACTGGAGGGA